TTACAAATTTGTTAGACAAATTTATTACAATATTCTTATTATCTTCATAATTGATCACATAATTGATTTTAATTAGTGGACTTTGTTGCTTTTTTCTTCTTAAATACTATCTAAGTAAATGGTGAAATTATTTTCCAACCAAAATTTTTAAACATAGTTTCAGATGTTGTATTTTCTTCAACAATGAACAGTACTGTAAAAATTCCATGTTCTCCAAGTTTCTTTGATAATGCATTTATAATAGTTTCTGCATAGCTTTTTTTTATATTTTTCCACAGTTTCTACTATTCCTAATCGACGCCAACCATTTTGTATTGCCCAAGAAACTAAAAAACTGTCATTTTTCAAATATAATCCTATTCCACCATTTAATTCTATCATTGTACTTAAATACTTCGTCGATAATTCAGTGTATTTCAGATCTCTATGTGACCATATGGAATGTATTAATGAAACATCTGATTTATTTAAAGGTTTAATGTAACATTCATCTAGTACCCTATGTAAATGTAAAATAAATCAAGATCACATGTATAAATTTTTGATGTAGATTAACAAATATAAAATATTTTCAATGAACAAAAGTATTCTTTATTATACATTATGTTTTATCGAAGTAGGATAATTTATAACTAATAGTGGAGTGGTTAGCTCTCACTTTTTATTTAACTTAACATCATTATAACATTTTGTTAATATTTTTCAAAATATATTTTGATACAAAATATTAATACAGTTATAATACAATATATACAACTATAATACAAATATCGATACAATATTGTAATAAAAACATTTAACCGTTTTCTTTTGCAAAATCTTTTGTTATATATGTATATCATATTCTAGTGCGCTTACACGAGGCTCATCGATCTTTACCAAACCATAAAACTAAACAAATGCACAACGGATATGGTCCTATGTGAAATGATGTACACATCGTATGCTATTTTCATAGGTTCATTGCCTCTGTGCGTTTGGTTAGTTCTAGGGATTTTCACCTCAGTGTATTTGTGAAAATTAATTATTGCTTAGAGCCCTCTAACGGCATGTCAGAGATATAGTTACATATGTTCGGATTTTATGAGTATCGATAGTCTTTATTAGTGATTTTTTTATGGTTACAAATTACAGCTGATTGGTGTTTGGTATTCTGGCTTCTGTCTCTTTTTATACGGTGTATCCCATTGATGTTTCTCTATTCGGATTTGTTTTTGATATGTCGACTATTATTACTTCTTACTACTTCTTTTGGCTATATTCTACTGTTTTCTTTTAGTTCCTAAAATAAAATGTCGAAAATGAGTTCTAAAGATAAAGATAATAAGACATTACATGATAAATTGAAACAATTTTTTCGCATTAACAAAGGTGATTTCATGAATTTAATTTTTATTCTTTATAACTACATTCATCTTTGCATGAAATGATGAAATATGCTTATAATAATTAAAAGCTTTTATTTTGTCC